AAAAGCTGCTCCAGAGGAGGCTGTGTGTTTTGAGAACAAGGAGCGAGCACAAATGTCTAAGTGGAAGAGAACGTTCTCTCTTGTTTAATGAGGAACGTATCTCTGTCTTAAGAGAATGAAAGTTAACATGCCATCTATGAAACAGACCATAGTAAGAAACCTGACTGCTCAATAGGCAAACAGTGTGACTCAAGCCAAATGACCCCTCCTGATTTGTCTATTTATGTTAATGCCTGGCCAGGGCTGCCACGTACAGCTGTGCAGGTTGAGTACTGCACGAGAGTGCTGCGTCTGAGAGGGCTCCATTTACAGTGAAGACGTTGTGGATTTGTACATTTATTTCAATTTCTGGCAGGTGGCACTAAAGTGTGGGCTTCTAGCAAGACAAATTTTCTGAAAAATGGAAGCAAAGTGGCCTGAATTTGCAAAAAATGCCATATGGGCTGGTGGTGGCAGTGGGCCTGGGCTCATAGACATTTGAGTTTGGGCCCCTGCATGTAAGCGTCTATGACCTTGACCCGTTCAGTGGCTTTCGGACATACCCTGCCCCTACTTCTCCCCATCTCTCTTCTGTCTCTCTCCCTCCAGAACATAGACACCCTGGAGCGCGTGGCGGGGCTGGAGCCTGAGGACCTGGTGGAGGCCCACGGCACCTTCTACACGTCGCACTGCATCAGCCCCGTCTGCCGGCGGGAGTACACGCTGGGCTGGATGAAAGGTGAGCGGCTGGAGGCCATCCTCGAGGGCAGGCTTTCCGCCCACCATCCCCTCCTCAGCGCCAGGAGCAGGCTCTCCACCAAGTGGCACAGTTCTGTCCTGCATGGCTCTGTGGCTCTTTTTAGCAGATAATGGCAGCCCCCCAAGATGAAGTGGCAGTGGGGCTTCATTGCTCCCCACACCAGCTCGCAACCAGGTTGTAATGGATGCAAGTCCCAGACCAACTTCAGCCACACGCCGACGTGCCTTAGCAGAGAGGCACCCACGTGCTTGTACAGACCCGAGCTTAGTCCTTCAAGGGGCTCCGACCCCATCTTACTGAGCTGCCCGTCAAGGCAAATGCGACTGCCTTCTGAGAAGAGCAGAGCTGTCCCGTAGAACTTTCTGAGAGGAGAGAGTCCGTGCTGCGCTGTCCAACACGGCAGCCACTGGCTACACATGGCCGCGGAGCGCTTGAAGTGTGGCGAGTGGGACCCAGGAACTCAATTTTAGATTTTCTTTAGTTTTTATTAATTTCAATTTAAAAAGCCACGTGTGGCTGTGACCACCACGTTGGCCAGCACTGTGCTGGGGCACGAGATTCGCTCAGCCATTATCAGATTCAGGCGAGTGGAATCTGTGGTGCCTGGGACGAGACGCAGCCCTGGTTCGGAAGGAAGCCCAGGGCTGTCGCTCAGGGTGCAGACTACAGGCCTTGCTAGAATCATGGGCCCTGTTCATGTAAGTGTCCAAAAAAAAAAGCCCAGCCAATCTACATTTCTTGAATACCAGTGAAGGCCTATTTCTGACATCGATTGTGCGGATTAAGAAGCCGCTTATTTCACTGGTGGGAAGCCTTTTCTGACCTTCTTTATGCTGATTTCACAAAGCCCCTGGTGTCCATGTGAGACAGGACAGCTGCTGCACGTGGAGGAGGGTCCCCGGAGTGTGGCCAGCTGACCGCCCCGGGCCCTGGATCCTGACCAGCCCGCTGCGCGCAGCTGGGGACCACACAATTCACATCCCCCCGCCGTGTTTCATTTATGGCGATGTCACATGCATCACCCACAGAATAGCATGCTGTCAAGGCAGAAATATTTTCAAGTAAATTACAGACATAAAACAGTGCTCTGTGAATATCTGATGAAGGAATGAATGAATAGTTGCACGAACAAGCTGGGATCTGTGAGTTGCAAGTGAGCAACTGTTTTCAAGTGTCCCTCATCAATAAGCAATAAGGAGTATTGTCACAAGGATGGTGGGGGGGGCGGTCTGTCACAGAGCCTGAGGGTGGGAAGCAGCTGGGCCTAAGCATTTGTCCTCACCCCAGGGGCATCTGCATATGCTTCCCTCGCTCTCCGCCACCAGCCTGGGACCCGCCAGGCCCCTCTAACAGCTTGAGCCAGGGCTGCCCCCACATCCCCACTGGAGGAACTCCTGCCCTGAGTCCAGATCCCTGAGCCGGGGATGGTGCTCCCCTGTTAGGGGCCAGCGTCTGCTCCTCCCTTTATTCTGCCATTCAAGGGCTAGAGCCTGGGGCTGGAGCCCCCTGCCCCCCGGAATCCTGGGGGCTGGGGGTGGTGGGGGCTGTTCTCTAAGAAGGGGGGGGTCCTTTCTGGGCAGGCACCCCCCCCAGAGGCCCCCATTTCTGAGCTGTGTTTGTTGACTGTGAAGGGAGGGGGCGGGGCAGCCCCAGCCCAGAGCCTCTTAGCTCCTTCTCTCCTTCCCTTCCCGCGCCCAGAGAAGATCTTCTCCCAGGTGACTCCCAGGTGCGAAAAGTGTCAGAGCGTGGTGAAGCCTGGTGAGCACGCCCCCAGCGACCCCGTCCCACAGGCCCCCTCACCCTCACCCCGCCCTGACCGGAGCCCCAGATCTGCCCCAGGGGGAGTGGGTTCTGTGCCCCTGGCCTGTCCCCGCTGCTCTGCGCTCCCCCTCAGCCCCTGGGTCTGCCTTCCGCTCCGGCCTGTTCTCTCTTTCTGTGCCCCCGCTTCACCGTCTCTTTCCGTCTCTCCATCCATGCGTCTGTCCACCTCTCTCTGCCCCAGACATCGTGTTCTTCGGGGAGAGCCTCCCAGCGCGGTTCTTCTCCTGCATGCAGTCAGTGAGTGTCCCTCCCTGCCACCGCCCGCCACCCCGGCCCGGCCTGTGGGGGCAGCCCCGCCCCGGGGAGGGCCCTTCCTCAGCCAGCTGCAGGTGGGCCGGGGGGCAGGGAAGGCTCCCAGAGCCCAGAGCCCTCACTGGCCACCCCCTCCAGGACTTCCTGAAAGTGGACCTCCTCATCATCATGGGCACCTCCCTGCAGGTGCAGCCCTTTGCATCCCTCATCAGCAAGTAGGTCGGGCGTCGGGGGCGGGGCTGCGGGGTGCTGGGGACTGGGGAGCCGCCACGGATCCTCACCATTCAGCTCGCCGTCCCCTCAGGGCGCCCCTGTCCACCCCGCGCCTGCTCATCAACAAGGAGAAAGCTGGCCAGGTGAGTGGCTTGGATTCACATCCTTCCGTTCTCCCCTCCCCCTCCTCATTTGGGTCCCATGTTCCCTCCCAGTGGCCTCCTCGGGCATGAGGGGACAGGTCTCTAGGTCTCAGTCTTTGGACCCCTCAGCTCGGAACCAGGCATCTGGAGTCGAGAGGGTCAGCTTCCAGCTCCTCTGACCCTAGGATTCCGCAGGCCTCTGCGCCATTCAGGACCCTTTTCAGCAAGTGACTGAACCCCAGCTCAAAGCGACTTAAGCAGAAGCAGGAACGTGTGCTTCCCGGGACTGAGGAGTCAGGGCCCGCCGGACCACGGCCTTCAGCTGTGCCCCTGGGGCCCCCGCTCCCTGTCTCGGCTCCTTTCCTGAGGTCGCCTCGTTCCCAGGCAGGCCTCCCTCCCGGGGAGAGATGTTTCCTCCAACCAGCAAAGCATACCGTGTGCCAGATGCTGAGCTAAGCATTTTCTGTGTATTAACCCACTGCCAGGACCACCTGGGAGTGGGTTCCATGATCACCCCCACTCGACAGATAGGGAAACTGAGGTTCAGAGAGGTCAGGTCCCTGGAGCGAAGTCACCGAGCTGGGATGCAGACCCAGGCCGCCTGGCTGCAAGGTCGGTGCTCTTAGCTCCCCCCCCCCGCCGTTACCCCCGTCCCCTGCAGACGGACCCCTTCCTGGGAATGATGATGGGTCTCGGCGGAGGCATGGACTTTGACTCCAAGAAGGCCTACAGGTGAGGCCTGGGCCTGTGGTGGGGGGGGTAGCCTGCAAGGGCCAGGGCCACAGAGCGAGGGAAGGCGCGAAGACAGAGGGACAGGGCAGAACTGGCAGGGGCCTGGGACCAGCCCGGGAGCTCTGACTCTCTCACCCGCCCGCAGGGACGTGGCCTGGCTGGGGGACTGCGACCAGGGCTGCCTGGCCCTTGCTGACCTCCTCGGATGGAAGGTGAGGAGACTGCGCGGCCCAGCCCACCCTGAGCTCAGTCCCTGGGCCGCATGGGGTCCTCTGACCTCTGTGACCTTTGCCCCCTGCAGAAGGAGCTGGAGGACCTCGTCCGGAAGGAGCATGCCAGCATAGACGCCCAGTCAGGGCCGGGAAGCCCCAACCCCACCACTTCAGGTTCCCCCAGCAAGTCTCCACCTCCCGCCAAGGAGGAAGCCCGGACCACGGAGAGAGAGAAACCACAGTGACAGCGTGTCCCCCGGGCGGGACGCCCCGCTCCTTTGGGACAGCTGAGCCCCACCAGCCCCTGCCCCCTCTAACTTTTAGCTCTTGTCAGGGGAGCTCAGAACATTTCCTCAGTCTCTTAACCTCTCCCTCCCAAAACGGGGATCCCAGACCCCCGGATCCGGCAGATCTCCAACGTCTCCAAGGGGCCGAGGCGTGGGCAGCCTGGCTCCAACCCCTGCAACCTCCCTCATCTCTAACTGCTCCCAGGGCCGGGGGTGCCTCCACACTTCTAACCGACACAGGATCCCAGGACAGGGGTCCCGGGCCCCCACGCCCTCTGCTGCTCCCAGGGGCCTGTGGCCAAAACCTAACCATCCCTGGGGGCTGGGAGGGGCCTTCCAAACATGACTCACACCCCGTGGGAGACCCCCAAGTCCCTGCCTCCAACTCCCAAAGTGAGTGCTGGGCCCCCTTCACTCAGGACCCACTTCCCACTCGGGGATGGACAGAGGCGTTGCTTATCGGAGAGAAATTAAAAACGAGAGACAACTAACACTTAGCTGTCTGGCCTCGCTGTTGCTTTCTGTGGGCGCGCCGGGAAGCCACCGGAGGGAGGGTCAGATTTTGGGCCTCGATGGAAACCGGGGCATCTACAGGCCTGTGTGAGGAGCAGAGCGCAGGTGCCGAGAGGGGCCTCGGGGCAGTGGGAGCCTTGTGGCTCTCCCCTGGACTCCCAGGCTGCCAGGGTCCTTTCCTCCCAAGGCCTGAGCCCCGGAAAAGAGGGAGGAAGGTCGATTTCAGATACCCCCCAGCCCCGCCTCTTCCCCCAGCCCGCTCAGCTTCCTCTCTGCGAGGAACACTTTCACTTCCTGTTACTCCAGGCCTCGAGAACAGGTAGGGGGCCCCAGGGGCCGAGCAGCTGGCATTGTCACCCCCCACTGCCTCCCTGTGGTATCAGGCAGGTGCCCCATCCCATGCGGCCCAGCACCACCCACCTCCTCCTGTCTCTCGTGGTACCTAGGCAGCCTCTGCCTCCGTCCCCCACTCCTCCCGCCTGCTCTCCCCGGGGGAGGGCACCTGCTCTCTGCTCCCCCTTCCTGACACCCTGGGCTTCTGTTCAGTGGGCTGATGGATTTGTTTGGCTCTTCATTATCCGTGTCCCATACCCACCCCAAGCAAGAATGGAAGCCCTTTTGAGCAGGAGCCTATGCTGCCCATCGCCCTTTCCCCAGGCTCTGGCTCCTAATTCTGGGCATGAACCCAGTCAGTCTTTGTTGGATGGATGGATGCATGTGTGGACCCCTTCCCAGACCCAGGTTTCCTACTTCTGAGAGGCTGCAGGGAAAATAGTCAAAACGCCCTCCTCAAGTCATAACCCACGGTCGGACTGCGTACCTGCTTAAGGGTGGGGTCCAGTGGATGGATGGGTGGAGGGAGAGATGTGGGATAGAGCAGAGAGTGAAATGTCCATAGTGGAATCCAGGTAGTGAGTATATGGATGTTCACTGTAAAATTTTTCCAGTTTTCCTGAATGTCAGAAAATTTTCATCATCAAATGTTGGGGGAAATATCTGAGGTCCCCTCTGGCCTGGGGGTGGGGAGGAGGAGGGGATGCTGTGTGACATGTATCCTAGTTATGGAGTGCCTACTATGCCCCGAGCCCATTTCCAGGCACTGGGTTTTGGCAAGGGTCGTTATTCAGCTGGTCCACATTTGTGTGGCTGCTCCAGATGCTAAAATCTGAAACATTTCCCTACCACTTTGTAAAGAGCTGTCATTTTGAGTCCTCTCCCCACACCTCAAGACACACCAGCATTGCTCCTGGGATCCCCAGATCTCCCCACCATCCAGCAGCTGAAGAATTAACACCTGGCAGAGCAGGGGGTCTCGGGTCCCTTCTGATTGGTCAGGGCCTCTGCCATACTGGCTGTAAATATTGTGAATATTGCTCCTGGGCTGGAGCTGACTCGAGCCTTATCTTCCGCCCCTCCAGGGGCCAGACCAAGGCTCGCTGGCCTCCCACATCCTGAGGATGGCCTGGCCAGAGGACAAGGCCGCAGCAGGCCCCACCGACGGGGAGAGGTGAGGGCTGCTGGGGTCGAGATCTCCATCTCCTGTCCCTGAATTCAGAAGTCCCTTCCATCTAATGCCTACACCCCACAGGACCCCAAGCCCCATCTCTGAGCCTTCATCCTGGGCTGCCCTTCCTGCGCCTTTGACCCCGCCTTAGTGTCCAACTGCCCACCTCTGACCCTTGGTCTCCTGGACCCTGCATGTCCCAGACTGGCCCCATCACAGATGAATGGAGCAGGCGAGATCCCCTTAGGGGTCCTCAGGACCCCAGAGCCACTCCTTCGCCTGCAGAGGACATGGGGGGTGTGGCAGATCCCAGAGCTGGATGCACAGGAGGCAGAAGTGCTTCTGGAGCTGTGGCCACCAGGGGTGAGTACTCACAGCCGGGGACCCCCACCCCCACCGACCCTCCCCATGACACCCTGGATCCCTCAGGACTCTTGCTGGTTGCTAGGGACAAACACAACACAAATCAGCAACCCAAAAAGGCAACTTATTGATTCAAATAACTGAAGAACTGAGAAGTAAAAGTAATTTCGGGAATGTCTAAATCCTGAGCATCAGACAACTTACGAATTTCTCTTCGTCCCCCTGCTTGGCTTAGCTTTAAAGTGTGGGGAATTCTGGACATTTGGGGCTGCCAGTAACAAGCGCTGATCCTATAGTAGCTGAGATAAACAGGCGTGGATCTTTCTCACATAACCAGAAAGGACGCTGCTGGCTCTAGTGCAGCAGCTCGGGGGACATCAAGGCCAGCTTCTCTGCAATTCTCTTGGACGTCCCTCATGGTCGCCCAGTGGCTGCACAGGTCCAAGCATACGTATGCATTCCAGGCAGAGGAAGGGAAAAAAGGAGGCACCAGTCGCATCTGTTTCTTTTACCAGGGGGGGAAGAAAAAAGGCCTCACAAATGATTCAGAATATATGGATGGGGCCCAGGTAGCAATATTTTTAAAAACTCACCTGGGAATTAGACAGCTGGAAGTGGGATACACTGCCTACGTCAAGCAGTATCCATCTTCCACGGCTGGGCCTATTAATGCCCTGAACGGAGCTGGAGTTTTGCAAGGAAAAGGGGGTAGATGTGGATAAGGTAACTAATAGGTCTGCCACAGCTTCCTCCTCAGAGGGGGCTCCTCCTGTGGTGGCAGAGATGGTTGGTCCCAGCTCAGGGCCAACACATCTCACCAGCTTAGCAACCCCCACGTCAAAACAGACCTCCTTCCAAAGGGCTCCAGCAAAAATCCTGTGGAAGATTTCCATTGGCTGAGCTTGGTTCACATGCCCATCTCCGGGCCAATCACAGTGGTCAGAGAGTGCTGTCATCCTATTGGTTAGGTCAGATCAGGGACCCACCCCTAGGGCTTTGGGAGAGTTAGTCCCACCCACAGGCCCTGAGAGTACTAGTGGGTTTCTGTAAAAGAAATTTGGGGTTTGGAACCCAAAATAAGGGAAATGGATGCTAGGCAGGCAAAAGTCTCTGCGCGAATTCTCTTCAAGCTTACCTTTGCCTCCACCCCACAGAGTTTCCTGGTCACAGGACACGACCCCAGCCAGGTCCTGGTGTTGAGGACAGGACCTTTGCCAGGGGAAGTCAACACCTACAGGATCCAGAAGCTTCCTGGAGGTGAGGAGCCCAGCCCTGACTCTCCAGGCCACAGCAAATTTATCACCAAGAATACTTTTTACTTCCAAAATACCTCCTGAATCTTCCCAATCCTGTCTGCCTCCATCACTCTGGTCCAAGCCACCGTCACCTCCTGTCTGGATAATTGCAATGGCCTCCTCTCTGGTCTCTCTGGTCCCACCCTTTCCTTCCTGCAATCTATTCCGAGCACACAGCCAGAGTGGTATTTTCAAACATCGATTAGATGTTACACACCCCTCCCCCAACTCCCTGCAAAGAATATGCAACATCCTTATGTACAATTTTAAACTCCAACATCATAAGATGTTGTGTGATTGGTCCCTGCCCACCTCTCCATCGACTGCCCCTCATTCACTCTGCTCCGGCCACGTTGTCCTCTCCCCTGTTCCTTGAGCATGCTAAATGTGTCCCGGCTTCAAGGCCTCTTCCTTTGTTCTCCCTGCCTGAATGCCCTTCCTTGAATGGTTGGTTTGGTCCCCATCCTTCAGGTATCTGTGACCACCACAGTTAACATAGCCCCTAGTTATTTTCAATCGCTCCATTTCGTCCACAGCACTCCATATAATATACACATAGCTTTGTTTGTTTACTCATTTATTTTCTGTCTCCCTCCAGTAAGAGGTAAGCACAGGCAGGCAGTGAATGTGTCTGCCTTTTGACAACTGTATCCCCAGTGCCTCGAAATGAATAGTTAGTCAATAAATATTTGTCTAACGAATGAATCCTATTTGGTGGCATAAGTGGGATGTGAGCATAAAGGCACAGGGGAAAATGGGGATGCCAAGGGGTGGAAATGTCCCTGTTCAGAGGGTTCCTGGGGGGAGTGCAGGACTGGGGAAGACAGAATCCCAGGAAAGAAAGGCTGGCAGCCCTCAAGTTCTCTAACTTGTCCCTGTTTGCCCCCTCCCCAAGGTGTGTCTCTGGAATCCTCTAACCTCTGCATGCAGGACCTGCTCCATCTCCTGGCCTTCCTATCAGCCAGCAGGTACAGGTCACCCATCAAAAGGGCTAAGGGGACTCCTTCCCTAAGACACCCTGCCCCATCGTGGCTCCCCCTTTATCTTTTCTCAGGGATGTTTTGCCCAGAACACTGCTCTTGCCGCCTCCCACTCTAGGACCAGAAGACCAACACACAGGTGAGGCATGGTTCTCTAAGAGAGGGAGGGGCCAACTTTCCAGCCTTCTTGGTCCAGGAGGATGGCACTTGGGGGACAGACTACTGGGTCCAAGGGAGGATAGGGGTGGGGGTCTGGGAGAGTTGGGGAGGCTCGGCTCCTGGACCTGAGCAAGGAGGGGCCCAGGACCAATCCTCAGCTCCTCCAGTAATGAGGCTGGGAATTAGGTCTCCTGGTGCCCTGAAGGAACCAGGGCTGGCCCCTCAGACATCTGGGACACCTCACTTTCTGCTGGCCCCCAGATGCTCTGCAGATTGGCAGCATCCAGCTCAACACAGCAGGGAGGGTGCTCTCCGTGGTGAACAAGCTCTACCTGGAGACCCACAGAGAGTGGGGGATGGACCAGGGTCCCCCAGAGACACTTCCAAAGACTGAGGAGAGACACCATCCAGGTTCGCTGGGCAGGGCCCTGGGCCCCTGAGGGGTGAGGGAGCTGCTGCTGCTCTTCTGTGGGACCCACCCCTCTCCCCACATCCAGCCCCTAGGCACCCCACCCCTCACCAGGTCTCCTGGGTGGAAGGCCCACTCAGCCCAGAAGGCCACCATCCTAGGCCGGCTCTCACCAGCCTGGTGGAGGAGAAAGAGGAGGAGGAGGAGGCGGAGGAGCGTAACGACTACGAAGATGAAGAGGAAGGACCCGAGGATGTGCTCACCCAACACGTCCGGGTTCTGGCCCGGGCTCGGAGCAGCTATGTGGCCAGGCAATTTCGGAGCCTTCGGGCGCGCCTCACCTCAGATGCTCGGGGCCCCCACAGGCCTGGGGACCCCGCCACAGAGCTGCTCCAGGATGTGCGGCACCTGCTCATTGACCTCCAGGATCACCTAGCAAAGGACCCAGATGTCAGGGCTGTCTTTGGGAGCAGGGGCCCTGGGGCCCCCCAGAAGGACCAGGATCTTGGTAATGAGGAGGACTGGGAGGGAACTTACGGCCACTCCCTGAACCCCCCCGTTTCACCTCTGCCATCTCTTGGCCCTACATATGTGTTCACACCCAACTTCCATCTCTCCCTCCACGTGCACACAGATGCCCTTTTCTACATAGAGTAACACCTGTTCTGTTCCCCACTGCTCCATCTCACACATGTGTGACAGCCACACTCCCTCTCCCACTCGCGTGTTCACACCCATGTCTACACCGGTGGGTGTCCAGAAGCTAGAGAGGGATGGCGATCAGCCAGGGTGGTTCGGTGGAGCGAGTGGATGGGCGTGGGTCGGCCTGGCAGCCCCTCCCTCACCTACCCGAACCCCTCGCAGGCCCCGCGGTGGAGGCGGCCTTGTGCCGGGCGGTGCTGGCGCCCCTGAAGCCCGCCCTGTGGTCGCGACTCCGCACACTCCGAGCCCCGGAGCTGCGACGACTGCGGAGGCGACAAATAGCCCTGCGGGCGGAGGCGGGGCCTCCGGGAGGGCAGGGGGCGGGGCCTGAGGGGCAGGGCCCCGCCCCCGCCGTGCGGAGCCGCATCCACGCGCGCCTGGAGCATCTCCATGCCTCCTGCTCCCCACGCCGCAAGGTGGCGCTGCTGCTGGCGATGTGCAGTGACATCTACGCGGGCTTGGCTCGGGGTGAGAACCAAGGTAAAGGAGGCGTCTGCGTCTACCTGGACGTGGAGTGGCTTGGGGGTGGCGGGAACCAGGTAGGAGGCGCCTGTGCTCGCACGTCGAGGGGAGAGGGTGGCATGCTCCAGTGGGAGGCGTCGATGAGACCCAGGGAAGGGCAGCCAGCGCCCGCGGCCCTGGGGACCAGATGGGAGGTGTCCACACGCCCCCATCCACCTCAGAGCCTGTCCTCCCGCTGCCCCAGAGCCCATGGGGGCCGACGCCTTCCTGCCGGCGCTGACGGAGGAGCTGATCTGGAGTCCGCACATTGGGGAGACGCAGCTGGACGTGGAGTTTCTCATGGAGCTCTTGGATCCGGATGAACTTCGAGGAGAGGGTGAGCCCTCGTCCCCAGAGCGCCGGCACCCAACGGGCGGCTCCCCGGGGCTGCCCGCGCCCCAGACAGCCTCGCCCTGGGCAGGTGGGAAGGCGGGCAAACTGCAGGGGCGCCTCGGGCGACTGGGGAGGCGGAGAGAGCTGCGCTGACCTCCCCTTCTTGTCCCTAGCCGGGTACTACCTGACCACGTGGTTCGGGGCGCTGCACCACATCGCCCACTACCAGCCCGAGGCGGGCCGCGCGCCCCAGGGTCTCAGCTCCGAGGCCCGCGCCTCCCTGCGCCAGTGGCACAGCAGGAGGACGCTGCACCGCCAGGGCGGCCCCGGAGCCCAGGTGACCGCGCGGCCGCACCGCAGGGGGAGGGGAGGGCTGCACCTGTTGCCTTCCTGACCCGGCTCCCCCTCTCCCCGCAGGCAGACCTGCCCTTTGAGGAACCGTGGGCGGTAGAGACGGTGCCGAGAGATCAATGAGGATTAGGGGTCTTAAACCCTTCTGCTCTTCAAGCCAGACAGGAGAGGCGCCTGGGACAGCGCCAACTTCTGCCCCCTGTGGCTTAGGGGCAGCAAGGGGCAGGGGATGCTTCCCGGGAAAAGGGAGCAGGCCCACCTCTGGGCCTTTGCATTGGCTGTTCCTACTTCCCCGGAATGCCCTTCCCTAACATCCATACTGCTCCTTCCTCCCTTCCTTCGGGTCTTTAGGCAGACGTCACCTTCTCAGTAAGGCTTTCCTAGGTCCCCCTAAACTGGATTCCTCAGGGCCCAGTGTAGTCACAGGGTCCTTGTGAGAGGGAGGCAGAAGGGTCAGAGTCACAGAGAGGGACGTGATGATGTGAGCAGAGGTCGGAGGGGTGACCGGGAGCTCCGGAGTGCAGGCACCCTCCGGAAGCTGAAAAACACAAGGAATGGATTTTCCCTTGGAAACTCCAGAAGGAACCTAGTCTTTGATTTTAGGTACCTAAGACCTATGTTGGACTTCTCAGCTTTCGAACTGCCAGACAATAAACTTGTGTTGTTTTAAGGCACCAAGTTCGTGGTGGTTTGTTACCGCAGCCGCAGGGGACTAATACACTCCCGTACTCTGATCTGTATTTTTTTCTGCAGAAGCGATCACTCCCCAACGTGCCATATAATAGACTTATTTATTGTGTTAATGATCCATAGTCTTCTCTCTCCTCTTAGAGCAGCACGGTCCAATAGGAACACAATGCCAGCGACACGTGTCATTCTAAGTATTCTAGTAGCTCCATTTAAAAAAAGACTAAAGAGAAGCAAGTCAAATTAATTTTAATAACATATTTGATTTAGCCCAGTATGTCCCAAATATTATCACTTCAACACATAATCAATTTGAAAAATTTCTGAGATATTTAACATTATTTTTGTGTGTGCTACATCTTAAAATCCAGTGTGTATTTTACCCTTCGACACATCTCAGTTTGGACTAGTCACATTTCGAGGGCTCAACAGCCACAAAGGGCTCGTCCCCACCCTTTTGGATGGTGCAGCCTTAGAATGTCAGCTCCCGGAGGGTAGGGATCTCTGTTTTGTTCATATCTGTATCTTCAGAGCCTAGACAATGCCTGGCACGAAGTAGGTGTTCAATAAATGCTTTCTGGGCGATTCAATGAACCAAGTTTTTGTCGTAGGCTGAAAATGGCTCCCCAAAAGATATCCATGTCCTCATCTCTGAAACCCGTAAATGTTCCCTTATTTGGAAAAGGGTCTTTGCAGATGTTATTAAATTAAGTATCTTAAAAAGGGGAGATTCTCCTGGATTATCCAAGTGGGCTCACATGTATCTTTATAAAAGAAAGGCAGAGGGAGATTTGACACAAACAGGAGGAGGCGACATGAAGGCAAGAGCAGAGAGAGGTTTGAAGCTGGCCTTGAAGACAGGAGTGACGCGGCCGCAAGCCACGGAATGCTGGCGGCCCCCAGAAGCTGGAAGAAGCAAAGAGCAGACTCTCCCCAGAGCCCATAGAAGGAGTGGGGCCCTGCGGGCACCTTGATTTCGGCCGAGTGGCACTGACTTCTGACTTCTGGCCTCCAGAACTGGAGGAGAACAAATTTCTGTTGGTTTGGCCGCCCAGTTTGTGGTCATTTCTTGCCGCAGCCACAGGAAACTGACACGGTTTCTCAGCACTTAGAGAAAAACAGCAGCAGGATTGATTCCCGACTCACTCTCATTCTAGCAACACGGGAGGTTGATCTGCAGATACAGGAACTAACTAGAAAAATAGGAGAAGTCCTCTCGATCTGTCTCACAAAGAGATGCACTGCTATTAAAATTTTACGTTTTATAGTGATCAAAATTCTGTAATTTAGATATCAACTAAAAAATGTGCTAAAGAATAGAGTTTTTTTTTTTTTTTTTTGCAATGGTTTTTGAAAGCCAAAAAGCTTGAGGATGGCTGCACCTGGCGGTGAAGCAGGGGTTGGGAGACCGGAGGAAGCAGCCTCTGACCTCATGTTCATACAGAGCTGAGGGGGCGGCTGGACCCCAGGAGGTGCGAGGGGATCACTTCCTACAAGAAAGAGCCACCTTCCAGGGCAAGCAGGGCTGCAAGAGTTTCATCATGTTTCTTATGCATTTATGTATGTATACATATTCGTATGTATGCATTTTTAATTTATTTTTAAATTGTAGTAAAAAACATAATATAATGTAGAGTTTCCTCTCCTAACTACTTTTAAGTGTACAGTTCAGTAATTTTTTTTGTTTTTGCTTTTTGGCGAGGAAGATTGGCCCCGAGCTAACGTCTGTTGCCCATCTTCCCCCTTTCTTTTGCTCCCCAAAGCCCCAGTACATAGTTGTGTATCCTAGTTGTAGGTCATTCTAGTTCTTCTATGTGGGACGCCGCCACAGCATGGCTCGATGAGCAGAGTGTAGGTCCACACCCAGGATCCGAACCCGCAAACCCTAGGCTGCTGAAGCAGAGTGTGTGAACTTAACCACTCGGCCACGGGGCCGGCCCCCAGTGATGTTAACTGTCCTCACATTGTCGTGTAACAGATCTCTGGAACTTCTTCATTTTGTAAATTGGAAACTACCCCCATCGAACACAACCACCACTCTATTTTCTGTTTCTATGATTTTGATGACTCCAGACATCTCACATCAGTGAAATCATATTTATATTCATCTCTTGGTGAATTCCACTAAGCTTATTCCACTAAGCACAATGTCCTCAAGGTTCATCCATGTTGTAGCATGTGACAGAATTCCCACATTTTTGAAGACTGAATAGTATTCCATTGTGTGTGTGTGTGTGTGTGTGTGTTCCGTATTTTGTTTTCTAGTTGTCGTTCTGTGGACATGTGGATTGCTTCTACCCCTTGGCTATTGTGACTAAAACTGCAATGAAAAAGGGGGTGCAGGCATCTTTTCTAGATCCTACTTTCATTTTTTTTTTTTTGAGGAAGATTAGCCCTGAGCTAACATCTGCTGCCAATCCTCCTCTTTTTGCTGAGGAAGACTGGCCCTCAGCTAACATCCGTGCCCATCTTCCTCTATTTTCTATGTGGCCTGCCACAGCATGGTGTGCCAAGCGTTGCCATGTCCACACCTGGGATCCAAACCGGCAAACCCTGGGCTGCCGAAGTGGAACATGTGCACTTAACCGCTGTACCACCGGGCTGGCCCCCTTGCTTTCATTTCTTTTGGATATTACCCAGAAGTAGAGTGGCCAGATCATGTGATAATCCTATGTTAAATTTTTGAGGGACCTCTAAACTATTCTCCATAGCAGCGGCACCAATTTTACCTTCCTACCAACCTTGCGCAAGGGCTCTGATTTCTCCACGTCCACCCCAATACTTAGTTTCTGTTTTTTGATAGTAGCCATTCTAACGGGTATGAGCTGATATCCGTTGTTGTTTTGACTTGCATCTCTCTAATGATTACTGATGTCGAGCATCTTTTCATATGCTTCTTGGCCATTTCTTGATCTTCTCTAGAGAAATGTCTATTCGAGTCCTTTGCCCGTTTTTAAGTTGGGTTATTTGGGGGTTTTGTTGTTGAGTTGGAGTTCTTCATATTCTGGATGGGGATGTCTTGTGGACAGCCTCGCTTTCTGGATTTGTTTGGCATTTCCTCATGGTTAGATTCCAGTAATCCAGTCAAGGGAAGAATACTCCATAGGGGACACTGTGTCCTTCTCAGTGTATCCCCTCGGGGCCCCAGGACCAGTGATGCTAGCCCTGCCCACTGCCCACTGAACTGTTAAGAGGTTCGTTGGCTGGCTCGGCGCCATGACGGAATACCACAGACAGGCGGTTAAAGAACAGAAATTTGCTTTCTCACTGTTCTGGAGGCTGGAACTGTGAGCTCCAGGCGTTGGCAGGGTTGATTTCATCCTGCGGCCTCCCTCCTTGGCTTGTGGATGCCATTTTCTCCCTTCGTCTGCACCTGCTCCTCCCTCTGTGCATGGCAATGTCCCAATCTCTTCTTATAAGGACACCACCCATCATGCCTTAGGGTCCACCCCTGTGACCTCATTTTGCCTTAATCACCTCTTTAAAGGCCCTTTCTCCAAACACAGTCACATTCTGAGGTCCTGGGATGAGGCTGAACACAATTCAGCCCATAACAGGAAGTGACCACCAGGTCTCTCCCCCTTCGAATTATGATGTCATCTATGGGTGGCACCTTGAGACCCTGTGAGTAACCTGTCCCCCAACAAGCTGTCACCCAATGCTTTCGGCACCTCTTCTCGATCCTTGCTGAGTCATTGGATTTATTTGTGCTATTATATTCTATTTAGGGCAGTTTTCCACTTCCTGGGGTGAAATGGCGTTTCCTGTTTAAATGAATGTGTTGAATTAAAAAAAAAAAAAACAGTGAGTTGACTTAAAGAAAATTATTTAGTAGCTAAGTGTCCAGTGAGGCGTGGCTATGTGGCAAAGTGTAGGAAGGTGAAACTCCAGGGCCGGATGTTGGGGTGTCACTGGTTAGGGCTTTGGGGTCACACTTGGCCTCTTGTTCACTCTTGGGCTTCATGCTGAATGCCTCCCTTTGGGCTCCCACTCCCATGGTGTCCCAAAACGGCCACAGAATCTCCCCCAAACGTGCTCCTCCTTCTAGACGCTTTCTCAGGGGACCCTCTTGATCCCCCAGTCCCTAGGCCAGAGCCCTGAGCCTCGTCCTGGGCACCTGCCTCTCCACGTTCCCACTACCCCCGTCCTCCCCTCCCCTGGCCACATCCCGGTCCAGCCCCAACCTCCCCCTCCTCCTGGCTCCCGTCCTGGGGATGCCCTCCAATCCCCACCCACATGGGAGCCAGAAGGAAATTTTTAAAAGAGATCATAGGTCCACCTCCAAGCCAGAACTTAGGTTTGCAAGAACTATAATTTTATTTTTTATTTCTTGATATGTAAATTGAGCCCTTGTCCCACTATGATGGGAAGACACTTTAACCTGGGAGGAAAATTTCATCCTTTTTAACACCATAAGCCCCCACCTCCCCTTGGTTGGTCACAGGACCTGTTTACAGAAGTCACCTGGAGACAACTCACCCCTCTGATCTGGAGGCCTCTCATCCCACAGTCCCACTGTTTTCCCACGGCTCCAACTCACTCTGCATGAAAGCCAGAGCCCTTCCCCACAAGGCCCCACACGACCTATCGGACTCTCATCTCCTCTCACTCACCTGCTCCAGCCTCACAGGCCTCCTCACTGTTCCCTACCCCCACCAGGCAGCCGCCCACCGCAGGGCCTTTGCCTGGCTTTCCTCTGCCCGGAACATCTTCCCCAGATGCATGCATGTCTGACTCCCTTGCCTCTTGCAGGGTTTTGCTCAAGTGTCACCTCCTATATGACTTCTTGAAAAGTCCCACCTCCCTTCCTGTTTTATTTTTAACCTGATGCTATATATCAACGGTTCTCAGCAACTTGTTAAAAATGCAAATTCTAGAAATAAACCCTCCCATGTATGGTATATGATTTTCAGTAAGGGTGCCTAGGTTATTCAATGGGGAAAGGATAGTCTTTTCAACAATGGTGTTGGGAAAACTGGATGGATATCCAC